CTCCAGCCCCCATGACTGCGCCGTTTAGCCACATGCCATGCAGTCTGAGCTTGGCGTGATTTTTGGGCTGCGTGGAGATGTGTGGGGACAGCCAGCATGAGGCTGGGATGTGCGTGCAGTGAGTGAGCACCTGGGGAAGTTAGAAGAACGTGTTTAACCGGAGGGGCTTGGTGAGAACTGAGAACAGATCATCTCCTTAGCTATTCAACAGATATTTTTGAGCTACTTCTGTGTGTGCCAGGTCCTGGGGAACGTAACTACGTATGAGATAGATGTTCAGCCACTCGATAAAGCCAGGCTTCGTGTTAGGTGCTGGGGAGAGAATCATGGGCAAGACAGAGGTTCGTGCATGCTGTAAAGGTTGACGGAGCATCTAATGCGAGCTGGACAGGACACCAGGTGTTGAGACGCCATTAAAGAGAAGGCTTGCCCCGCTTCCGAGGAAGGCATCCCTCTGTTCCTCCCCCATCCCCCCACATGAATAAATGTGGGGGCCATGCCTCAGGGGAGCTTGAATGCTGTGACAGCAGATTTTAAGCTTCACGCTGTATGTAACAGGAGTATAGAAACAACTGCATGATGTGGGTTCATCTGGATTCCTTTAACAGACACTAATGCCCGTGGACTTAGCATGTGACCGCCCCAGTGCCCAGAACTTCCGTGTACTGTGTCATTTATTCTTCACAAAAAACCCTGGTGAGAGAGAAGTTATAGCACCGTATAATGGGGAATAAGTTGAGCTGGGCATTAAATGGAAAGGTGTCTACTCCCATGGTGCGCACAGTCTATAGAAGGAAATAGATTACTGAAGAAAAAGTAAAGTCGATTTAATTCCAAACTGTGTATAGTGGAGGGGGTGGCTGGTTACATTCTTTCTGGCCGTCACGGGAGGGGATTCTGAAAAGATGATTTGTGAGTGGAGACCTGAAGGATGAGAAAAGTCCAGCCAGGGGCGCCTGGGTGGCTCAGTCATTGGGTGTCTGCCTTCGGCTCAGGTCAGGATCCCAGGGTCCTGGGATTGAGCCCCGCATCGGGCTCCCTGCTCTGTGGGAGCCTGCTTCTCCCTCTCCCACTCCCCCTGCTTGTGTTCCCTCTCTCGCTGTGTCTCTCTGTCAAATAAATAAATAAGATCTTGAAAAATTAAAAAAAAAAGTCCAACCATACCCACAGCTGGGGGACCGAATTGTGCAAGTATAAAAGCCCTGGGGTGAGAGGGAGGTTTTGAAGCTGGACTTAGCGAGCAAGAAGATCAAAAGAAGACAGGGGTGGAGATGTAGCCAAGAACCAATCCTCACAGACCTCGGAAAAGGAAACCAGTGATACAAACAGCCAGGGAACAGCATCTCAAGGGGCAGGGATGGCAAGTGCAAAGGTCCTGAGGCAGGACCAGGCATTGTGGATGCAGCTCCACAGAGAAGAGGTCAGAGGGTGGTTGGGCCAGACCAGTTAGGGCGCTGTGGGCCTCCTAAGGCCCTGGGATCTCTTTCCATGCTCTGGGTGGGGGGTGCATTCAAGGAGGACCCTGGCTGTGGCGCGAGCTGATCTGCCTTTTGATAAGATGCCTCCCCTGCTCTGCACAGCGCACGTTAGGGAGACAGAGCCCCGGCAGGCGCAGCTCTGCTCCTCACGGCCTCTCCTTACCTCTTGCCCTCCCAGAGGCCCCTTCCCCCAGCCCGGGTTCATGCCGACGGCCTGGGCTCCCCCGGGCGCCCCCGAAGCCCCACCCTGCGCCAACCAGAGCTGCACCCCCCACAACCTGGTCCTGCTGGGCTTCGCGCACGTGCCCACGCTGCGGCCGCTGCTCACTGCGCTCTTCCTGGCCATGTTCCCGCTCACGCTGCTGGGCAACGCGCTCATCGTGCTGCTGACCGCCCTGGACCCGGCCCTGCGCGCGCCCATGTACTTCTTCCTGCGCCACTTGGCCCTGCTGGAGGTCTGCTTCTCGCTGGACATCGCGCCCCGGCTGCTGGGGACCCTGCTGCGGCCCGGGTGGGGCGTGTCCCCCGCGGGCTGCGCCCTGCAGCTGGTCCTGGTGCTGTCGTGCGTCACATCCGAGTGCTTCCTCCTGACAGCCATGGCCTGGGACCGCTACGTGGCCATCTGCAGGCCCCTGCGCTATGGCGCCATCATGAGCCCCCGGCTTTGCCACCTGCTGGCCGCCACGTGCTGGCTGGCCGGAGTCCCCGTGTTGCTGGTCTTCACCATCTGGCTGTTCAGCTTCCCCTTCTGTGGGCCACGTGGCATCCGCCACTTCTTCTGTGACATCGCCCCTCTGCTGAGCCTGGTGTGCGGGGACACCAGAGTCTTCGAGGCCAATGTGTTGGCGGCCACTGTGCTGGTCGTCATGGTTCCCTTCTGTCTGATAGCCACGTCCTACACTGGGGTCTTGGCCACCGTGCTTCGGATGCCATCCGCCACGGGGCGCCACAAGGCCCTGTCCACATGCACCTCCCACCTCATCGTGGTGGTTCTGTTTTTTGGCACCACGGGGGTCATCCACTTGCGACCCAAGGCCAGCTCCTCCCCAGAGAGCAAGCAGGTGGTGTCCCTCTCCTACACGCTGGTGACCCCCATGCTCAACCCCCTCATCTACAGCCTTCGGAACAAGGAGGTGAAGGCTGCCCTGGGGCGGGTGTGTTGCCGACACCAGGAATCTGGACCCCAAGAGTGATCTCTTCAGGAATTGTTGATGGATGTTTGACAAGGATCTGTGTGAAAATACAGATTGTGGTAGAGTACTCTGACTTTTTTCTGGAAAACTGTATTTTTTTCCTCTTCCAGTCATGGTAGTGCTGGTTCTTTCTGTCCAAGAAAAGGCTCATGACAGAGAATTCAGTTCCTGATTACAATTATTGGGTAGTGGTAGACAAATTAACCTAATCTGGGTCAACTAGAGTGTATTAGGTAGCAAGTGCCGCAAGACTGCTGTGTGGAACCTAGAATGCAGTGTATTAAAGCATGTTGTTTATTCCCGTGAATCTTCAATCAGCTGAGGGTTAACTAATCTAGGTTGAGGTCATCCAGGTGGTTTTTCTGATCTTGGCTAGGCTTGCTCATGCAAATGAGTGTTGACTGTCGTAGACTTGGTGTAGCTACTTTGGTGTACACGTTTCCCATCCTTTTCCTGGGACCAGAGCTCCAGCATGATTTTTCTCATTACAATAGCTGAATGAGAAGGCCTGGTTGTTCAACTGATTTTCAGAGCTTTGGCCATGTGACACCCAATAAGATGGCATTAGCCTATGCAAGTCACATGGCCATATCCCCATAGTCATGGGGTAAGGAAGTGTACTCTGTCTCTTTGTGGGAGGAACCCTGAGGTTATATGACAAACGATATTGACAAAGGGAGGAGTGAGTAGTTTGGGGCTTTAGAACTTACTTCAGAGAGCCAGACCCTGAGATTTTTGTTCAAACTTCTCTTTGTTCATAGCTGTTAAGGATGTAAGCTTATAGATGCCATCAACTATCTGGTCTTTAACAGGAGTTCCTGCTTGATAAAGGAGTCATTGCAAAGAGAATCAGAACCAGTGGTGGTGGATGGGGGGGAAAGATGTGGTTCTAATGATTTTGTTGAGTTTCTGGATCCAGTCATGCCTGAAATCTGTCCTGCCCTTGGGAATTCCTCTTACGTGAACCAGTAAATTTGTCTTTTACTTAAGCCAACTTGGGTTGGTGTTCTGTCCCTCTCAGTGCCCTGATTTACTGATCTCTAATAATTAGCCTGGTACATGAGTTACATTATTTCTTCTCTCAAGCTCAGAAAGAATATTTTTTTGAATATAGGTAAATGTATCAGAGGAAAAGTTTCTTCACTTCAGTTTATGGTCTACCTTTGAAGGGATCTGTTTTTTCTAGAAGACAAACCTGGATTTGAATTGTCACTCTTTATTTTCTTGGTTGTACAAACTAGGACTTGACTTCCCTGAGCCTCAGTCTCTTCTCATCTGTGAAGTGGGAGTAGTAACCATACTTACCACACCAGGTTGTTACCATTAAACAAGGGGATGTGTGGAAACACCTAGCACGGTGCTTGGAATACAGCTGGTACTCAGTTAATGGTCTACATTCATTATTCACTAGCTATCCTCATAGATTAGAAACCCAAAGCTCTATCTTTGGGAGGAAATGTACTATGGTATTCCCAGGAGGCTGGATTTGGCATTGGGGGACTTGGGAGTTCAAGTATGGAATGAAATCCTTCCATGGGGGTTGTTGGACAAGTCTCTCTGAGGCTCAGCCTCACCCTGTATAAATGGGAAAGGGTTTGAGGAAGAACCCCTGCCCTTCCACCACCCAGGTCTCTAATGAGACAATCAGTATAAAAATACAACTACTGCACAAGGCTGAATGAGTTTCTGTTCTTGGTCATCAGACCAGTTCTGCCAATGTTTTCACCTTTCCCAGGTGTTTTCTCCTTAATTTGACATCAAATAACAAACAAGTGTGTATTGAACATCAACTATGTATCAGGCACTTCTTGAGGCTCCCAAGACACTGTGGTGAATAAGACAACATAGTCTGGGCCCTCATGACCTTTCAGGAATGTGCAGCATTTTCTTAAGATGTGGTTCAGAAACACCTGGGGTGGTCGTTAAGCATGGAGATGTCACACCCAATGTGTGTAGATCGGCCCCACCCCGTCTACGGCCATACCACCCTGAACGCGCCCGATCTCATCTGATCTCGGAAGCTAAGCAGGGTTGGGCCTGGTTAGTACTTGGATGGGGGATCGGCCCCACCCCGATCTACTGAATCAGGAACTTTGAGATCACAGTCCAGGAACATGTATTTGTGAAAAAGTGCCCTGGGTTATTCCAATGTAGAGATGTGGATCTACTAGTCTAAAGGTCCCTCCTTAGAAGGGAGAGGACAAAGAAGGCAAACACATCAATCCCAGTGCAGACACTAAAGGGAAAGTGGTCTACAGTCTAACCAAACTCTCTTTCCTACCCTGAATCTCTGAGGTCTTCACCACTGAAATCTGCTCAACCTATCTCTATGGACAGTTATGACCAAGATAAGGAACCTCAGTTCTACTATCACTTGGAATATAGAAGTGGTCACTGGGCCATCAACCCCGTGCCCAGTACAGCTGTGGAGAGGAAGAGGTAAAAGGCTGGGCCTCCTGGTATTGGATAAGCCACCCCTTTCCTCAGCCATGGGGCATCTCTCATGACATCTGTTGATTTTCCTGCTGTGCACTCATTCCCCCTTCTTCTGGTAACTGTAGGTGGATTTGTCTTTGGGAAGCTACATGCATCCTATCTCCTACAGTCTTTTGTCTTCGGCAGTTTGATGGAAGTACTTCCTCTGCCTTCACCATGTACAGGGTGTTGGCTTGATAACCCCAAACTAAGCCACTCCTGCACTTTCTCCCTGGAATTGGATCAGTGATCGAAACAAGCACTGAATATGGAACTGACGGTTCTCAGTGGTTGGCCTGGTACTTCTTATCTGGTTTACCAAAAGTGTCCTGGTCCATGATCCTGGCAAAATATGGTTCTTCAGCAATCCCACAGTCTCCAACCACTTTCTTGGCTTAAGTGACCCAGAGTTAGCTTCTCTTTTGAGCAACCAAAGGACTTAAAATGATACTGCATCAGCCCCAGTTTCCCTGCCTGACACTGCAGTTCTGTTTGGCCTGGACCCAGTGGCTGCCAAGGTCACTTTACAGTGCTTTTCTCAAGAAGATGTTCTTGGGTTTTTTGTCCTTCTCACCATTGTTTCAGGTTCTTCTTGAAAACATGACCCAGTTGTTACTGGATTTGAGAACCTCATGGCCTCATAAACCCTGACTTTTGAGCCCTAGTCTCTAACTCAGACCTTCCAACAACCGAAGAACACGAGGAACCCTTGGGACAGTTGGTTCCAGGCCGCCATTCTCCCAGATCCCTCCTCTTACATCCTGTCTCCCCTATCCCTGGATGTATCATGGGAAAGCTGTCTGAAGTCAAGCCTATATTTTATGAGACCCAGAACTTTCTAGGAAGTGGGAAGCAGAACTCTAGTTTTATCCTACCCATGCCCCATCATCAAACACCCCTGGAGTATGCACTAGGAGTCAAGCCCTGTGCTTGCCTCTGTGGATACAGAAAGAAAAGACAAGTTTCTTCTTCTGAAATAACTTTTTATAGATGAGGACACAGAAGACAAAAAAGAAGTTATAATTTAGTGTGAAGCATGTTGTAGTAGTACACTGAGTCATTATTTTGAACATTGGGATGGAGATGAGCTAGTATGTATTGAGTACTATGCGTCAGTCACCACACTGGACATGTGACATATTTGCGAATATAATTTTCCAGAAGATGTCTTGGTTTAATGCCTGTCTGATGGTAATAATATTATTGCTTCCATGTGCAAGGTATTTAATCTGCACTGAGCTCAGAGACTTACATGCATTAAATAGTTTTATCCTCTCAATGACCCTAGGAGGAAGCAAGCATTATCTTATTTTATAGGGAGGTTCAGAGACAGAGTAAATCATGACAGTTCTGCAGCTATTGAGATTTGCTTCAAGAGCTGAATATCGTCTTCCAGTCTCCAACTCTGCAGAACATTTCCACAACCTCATTTGGAGCATGAGTGGTTAACCAACACTGACCAATCACCTACTGTGGTCCCAGAAGTAATTACATCACACCATACTATTTTATCAGAGAAGGGAACTAATTCTTTGTGGCTAGAGAAAAGAGAGGGTTCATAAATATTTTTCAAAGACTGAAGTTTCATGTGAAATTTAAAGGGTTGAATTAGATTTCATTGTGAGAAAAGGCAATCTCTTGTCGGAAAGAATAGGTTGGGCAAAGTTCCTTAGGAGTACATGTACTTTAGACCTCTGGATGTTGGTGTGAGCAAGGGTAAAGGTGTGGAAAGACTCCCACAAATATCTTAAGGTTGGATATAAAGGTTATAGTGATTCTTTTTTTAAAAAAAGATTTTATTTATTTATTTGAGAGAGAGATCATGAGCAGGGGGGAAGGGTAGAGGGAGAAGCAGACTCCCCACTGAGCAAGGAGCCCGATGTGGAACTTGATCCCAGCACCCTTGGATCATGACATGAGCCAAAGGCAGACACTTAACTGACTGAGCCACCCAGGTGCCCAGGTATAGTGATTGTTATTGTGTAAAAATATACATAACATAAATTTGCCCTTGTTAACCATCTTTAGGTATACAGTTCTCTGGCATTAAGTACATTCACACTATTATGCAACCATCTCCAGAACACTTCATCTGGAAAAATGGGAGCTCTGTACCCATTAAACACAAATTCCCAATTCCTCTCTCCTCCAGCCCGTAGCAGCCACCATTCTACTTTCTGTTTCTGGAATTTGACTACTGTAGGCACCTCATATAAGTGACATCACACAATCTCTCTCCTTTTGTGGGCTGGCTTATTTCACTTAGCATAATGTCTTCAAGATTATCTATGTAGTAGCATATGTCAGAATTTCCTTCCTTTTTATGGAGAGCTAAATTCCATTCCATGTATATACCACAGTTTGCTTATCATTGCCTCCATCCTTGTACACTTGGGTAGCTCCCATCTTTTGGCTATTGTGAATAACACTGATGTGAACACGGAGGTGCAGATACTCATTTCTGCCAGTACTTTGAATGGGCAGCATCGTCTTGGCATCTAATTTCTCCTGGAAAGTTCTCTCCTGTAGTCCTCAGATGCATTAGTTCTTCTTAGAACAAGTTATGAACATGTGTTTCCATGACCAAACTTATCAACCAAAGGCAGGAATGGTTTACCACTCATCCTTATACCCCAGGACCCAAACACAAGACCAGGCATTTGCAAAGCAATCAGTCAATGCACGATGGCCTGAACTGAGGGTGGTTCCAAGGCTCCGCCTCCCCTTAAGCATCCACAGAGTATCAGTAAAAGTGTTTTTCACATCAACTCTTCCCCAAATCTGCAGAGACCAGGGGAGGTCTCTGAGGTCCAGAGCTCCAATTTAAGCCGGCCTCCCTGCCTCCTTCTCACGGTGAGGAGAGTCAACTCAGCAACTTAGAGCATCTAGAACCACGAAGAGAAACAACAGTGGGAGGAGTGGATGCCTCATTCAGGAACAGCTTCTTCCAACATGGACTGAAAGGTGACTCCGCTCTTTGGCATCTCCTCCTCCAGGTGGGAGCTGAATGCACCTAAGCATCTGAGCCTCTTTCAGGAGCAGCATCAGCAAGAACAGATCTGAAGCTGTTGTCCTTTGACCATCACACAAGGAGACCAAATGTTCTTCTTGGGGGCTGAGGACAAGGAACAACAGAGAGAAACTGTCTTTTATAGAATATCCAAAGCATACCAGGTACTGACTCTGAATACTTTAGAAATATTAACTGATCTAACCCTCCCTTAGTACTTATCCACATATTGTACATTAATTTACAAGGCAGAATTAAATGGATTGAGTGACTTTCCTAGAGTTCCACTGCTTTAAAGTTCTCGAACACTTTGAGGCTAAAACCAGTTTGATTCGTGCCCATATAGCCACCACTTTTTTGCACAAAGCCCCTTACTTAATAAATAATTACCATTCTTTGCACAAAGCCCCTTACTTAATAAATAATTACCATTAAAGACTTTATCAGCCAAGGGTCTGTCTTCTCATGAGAGAAATTTCTTTTTTTTTTTAAAGATTTTATTTATTTGAGAGAGAGAGAGTGAGAGAGAGAGAGCACATGAGAGGGGAGAGGGTCAGAGGGAGAAGCAGACTCCCCGCTGAGCAGGGAGCCCGATGCGGGACTCGATCCCGGGACTCCAGGATCATGACCTGAGCCGAAGGCAGTCGCTTAACCAACTGAGCCACCCAGGCGCCCCTCATGAGAGAAATTCTGAGTTTCATTTAGAACAACAGGATTGAAACCCACTTCTGTGTAACTCTGAGCTCAAGCTTTAACCACAACACTATGTTGCCCCTCTTCTGACAATGGGGAATTGTATAGTTCAGGTGAGAGATGGTTATCTATAGTTTTGAATAACATACAACTGAAGTTAAGTAGAGTACTCAAGACGACAGATTAAACTCTGTGGCCCAGATTGCTCTGCGGAACAGGAATGTGTTCTTACTGACCACCATATCTCCTTTGAACCTAGCGCATCTCTTAGCAAAGAATTTGTGGATAACAATTATTTTTGAGATGGAACAGTCTCTGAATATCTAGTTTTGGGATTTGGGATGCTAACGTGACCCTCTAGGGGTGCACTCGCTGGTTTTGATGCAGATTATCCAGGGGTCTCTTGGTTCATCTGAAGTCCTAAGTTAGGAAAGGCAACTCGGAAAAGGATTTGTGGAGGAGGTGCATATGGAGTGGATACAGATGAGAAGATAATGAAGATCAGAGGCAGAGCCAAAAAGAGGGGAAGCAAGAAATCTCAGTTGAGGGGAAGGACTGAGGTGGAATGGGAAATGGAAGGTGAGTGGACTCCTATCCAGGAAGTGTTTACTGGGGTGCAAGTTCTGCCTGACGGCTATAAAGTGGGCTGGTGGAGTCACACTCCTGAGCCTTGGCTGCCCAGTCTGTGTTCGTGCAGTAACGTACACAACATCTCTATGTCCCGAGGATTAAATTAGCTTGTGCTCCTTATGCCTTTGCAAAGAACCTTAGGATCTACAAATCTGGCCTCTCGGAAGACTCTGATGTTCTACAACTAGGAGAAAACTTAGAGCAACAAATTCTTTCATGCAGGAAGTTCTCCCAGGTTCCTGCTAACGTAACTTGAGAGACTGATGCTCAGGACACCTTTCATCCCTGACATTGCTGTGCAGAGTAGACATCTTTCTTATGAAAACTTGGCAGATACCTCTGTCATTAGTTTATTCTCAGTTATTTTTGCTTACATAGCCTTGAACACCAATCTCACGGCCCCCTCTAACCTGGAATTTATTTTGTTGTTGTTGTTGGTTTGTTTGTTCATCGAACCTTTCTCATAGGAAATCAGTGGCCACAGACATGGACTATATGTGTCTTCTTCACCCATGTATTCCCAACACCTAGCATAGAAAGGGAAGTTTAATAAATGCCATCAAATGAATTCTGCGAATGATAGCCTGTAGTCAGAAGGATTCTCTAGTTGGGTCACTTGTCAGCTCTTTACTCCCCATGTCCCAGGTGTAGACTTTTCAGGCTTGATTGTGAAGATGAAATGGAATGGGGTTGGCACAGCATAGACATCTGGCCCAACTGTGTGTTCTTCGTAGTGTTGTTGCGTCCTGGGCAAGTGAATTCATCTGTTTGGGCTCCATATCTGTCTTATGGCATAAAACCAATGAATATAAGTAGGTTTTATGGCAAGTTACTAATGCATGCGAGAGGTTCAATGAGTTATGGAAGTTTCCATTATGAGATTGTATGTCCCAGTGTACATTAACAATTTTTTTCTGTCAGCCTCAACTTCCTGAAATGTATCAGTAGGGGAAATAATGCCTATGTGTATTTATGATCACATACATTGATACAATAAGTGACATTTCCAGCCTTCTGCTGAAAGGCATGACAATCTTTTTGGGGATTCCTCCCTCTTTGCTCTACTTGAATATCATCATTGGTGACCTACAGCCTAATACAATTCTCAAAATAAATTTGCATTGAGAAGAGGACCATTTTTAAACAAAAGACCTGATCATCTTGCTCTACTTAGATTTATAAATCTATAGATTTATAGAATTTATTTATAGAATACTCCCAAATTCCTACATAGAGTATACTAAGAACGGAAAAATATAACCTACAATAAGCACTTTTTTGGAACAGAAATAACAACAATCCTGTTTTCTTATTTGGTATAACAGTGCCTTATTTATTATAACAACCTCATGGGAGACCAATGATTTTCTCCCAATTTTCAGGCAGTCTGATTATATAAGGGCACAGACTTAGGCCAATTTGAGTAAAGACTGTGATCTCATGCTGAGAGTTTGGCTCACAAATTCTATTCAGCATTTGTCTGTAAGAGTCAATTTTCAAGAGAAGCTGAACTGGCCCAGTCTTAGGGTCTACATACACTGTGAACATACTCCTGATTTTTTTCTTAACTACTGTGTCTCTGAAGAAACCAGAATGTCAACAAACTTGTCTCTCTGCAGAGGGAGAGGTCTCTGGAGTCAGGCAACATGACCAGAGTTCAGGAGTTTGTCTTGCTGGGTTTGTCCACCAGGCTAGACATAAGGGATGTTCTGCTTGCCATCTTCCTGACCCTCTACCTGCTGACCCTCCTGGAGAACACGCTCATCATCTACCTTGTTTGCAGTCACAGCGAGCTCCACAAGCCCATGTACTTCTTCCTGGGCAACCTCAGCTGCCTGGAGATGTGCTACGTGTCAGTGACCATGCCCAGCCTGCTCGTGGGGCTGAGGACTGGACCCTACCACATCTCCTTCACAGCCTGCATGACCCAGCTCTTCTTCTTTATAGTCCTCATCGGCACGGAGTGCACCCTCCTGGCCTCCATGGCCTATGACCGCTATGTGGCCATCTGCCACCCACTCCACTACCCACTGCTCATGAGGCCCCAGGTCTGCCTGGGCTTGGCCATGACTTCATGGCTTGGGGGGCTGCTGGTCTCAGTGGTAAAGACATCTTGCATCGCCAGCCTTTCCTACTGTGGCCCCAACGTTCTCAACCACTTCTTCTGTGATGTCTCCCCTCTGCTCAACCTGTCCTGCCCCCCTGTGGCCCTGACTGAGCTGGTGGACTTCATCTCTGCCATCGTCATCTTCTGTGGAACACTGTTGGGAGCCCTGGCCTCCTACTCAGCCATCGGGGTGGCCGTGCTCCACATGCCCTCAGCCGCGGCCCGGCGCAAGGCCTTTTCCACCTGCGCCTCCCACCTGGTGGTGGTGGGCATCTTCTACTCAGCAGCCCTCTTCATCTACTGCCGCCCCAGCCGCATCAGACCCATGGACCTCAGCAAGGTGCTGTCAGTCATCTACACGGTGCTCACGCCCATGTGCAACCCCATCATCTACTGCCTGCGGAACAGGGAGGTCCACGTGGTGCTTCGGAAAACTCTCCACTGGCCTTGATCACAGTCTTGGGTCATTGACCTCTCGTCTCCTGATTGAAGATCTGCCATGGCCACGAGATTCCAAACATAACCGAAAGGCAAAAGAAAAACTAGGGGAATATGTTTCCCATCTAATAAACAATGAGTTCATTTCAATCAAGAACAAAATCTGAATTACCCATGGGAAAAGTGAACAATGTCTACGAGAAAACAAGTCGTCAAAGATAAATGATAAGTGACTGGTAACTCACATGACAAGATGGTCCACTTTATCAGTAAACCAAGAAGTGCAAATTTAACAACCCCATCACTTGATTCCTAGAATGACAAATACTTAACAAATGTTTCTATGTGTTCCCGTGAGTAGAGATAGATTATGGATACAGAGATATTCATAGCATCTTTGTAATGAAAGAAAAATCAGAAAAACCCATTATCCATCCAAAATGGATGGATTAAATACATTATATTCATTCTGAGATAAACAGTGGGGCTATTGAATAAAAGGAAATAGATTTATATCTTTGACATGGTGATATGGCCGATATATATATATTAAATAAAAAATTAAGACAGGGCTTTTTCTCAATCCCTTCCCCATCCCTTTGCTACTAGCTATTACCTATCTGTATTCCTTTTTTAAAGATTTTATTATTTATTTGAGAGCGAGTGCATGCACACATGAGCGGGGGGAGGGGCAGAGGGAGAGAGAGAGAGAATCAAGCAGACTCCCTGCTGAGTGTGGAGCCTGACCTCACCACCCTGAGATCATGACCAGAGCAGAAATCAAGAGTTGGATGCTTAACCAACTGAGCCACGCAGGCTCCTGACCTCTCTCTATTAACAGTGCCTTAAAAAAAAAAAAAAGATTTTATTTATTTATTTGAGAGAGAGAGAGCGCACACACGCACACATGAGCAGGGGGTAGGGGCAGAGGGAGAGGGCAAAGCAGACTCCTTGCTGAGCAGGGAGCCCAACACAGGGCCCCATCCTGGACCCTGAGACCACGACCTGAGCTGAAGGCCTAACCGACTGAGCAACCCAGGTGCCCCAGTAGTGCCTTTTAATAAATAGAAGCTTTCAATTTTGGTGGAGTCTAAATTATCAATATTTAAATTTAGTTATTACTTTTTACATCCTAACAAAATTTGCCTACATCCTAACAAAATTTGCTTATTTCCTGGTCACAGAAAACCATCACCTAGAAGGTTTATAGTTTTAGCTTTCTAATTTGTGTGTATGACGCCACTCAAAAAATGTGCGTGTGTTTATGTGTGTGATATAAGTTGAGCTTTATTTTTTCCTACATAATCCAGTTTCACCAAAATGATTGTTGGAAAGACCCTCCTATGAAATTGCATTGGCAATTTTCTCAAAAATCAGATTGAGCATAAAAATGTGGCTGTTTCTTTTTTTAAATATTTTATGTAAATTCAATTTAGTTAACATATAATATAGTATTGGTTTCAGGAATAGAATTTAGTGATTCATCAGTTGCATATAACACCTACTGCTCATTACATCACGGGCACTCTTTAAAGCCCATCACCCAGTTACCCCATTCCCCCACCCACCTCCCTCCAGCAACCCTCAGTTTGTTTCCTAGAGTTAAATCTTTTACGGTTTGCCTCCCTCTGTGTTTATCTTATTTCATTTTCCTTCCCTTCCCCTGTGTTCATCTGTTTTGTTTCTTAAATTCCACATGTGAGTAAAATCATATAATTGTCTTTCTCTGACTGACTTACTTCACTTAGCATAATACCCTTTAGTTCCATCCACGTCGTTGCAAATGGCAAGATTTTATTCTTTTCGTTGGCTGAGTAATACTCTAGTGTGTGTGTGTGTGTGTGTGTGTGTGTGTGTGCGTGTGTGTGTGTGCGTGTGTGTGTACCACGTCTTCTTTATCTATTCATCTGTCAGTGGACATGTGGGCTCTTTCCATAGCTTGGGTATTCTTGACATTGCTGTTATAAACATTGGGGTGGAGGTGCCCCTTCTTTTCACTACATCTGTATCTTTGGGGTAAATGCCTAGTAGTGCAATTGTGGGGTCATTGGGTAGCTGTATTTTTAACTTCTTAAGGAACCTGCACACTGTTTTCAGAGTGGCTGCACCATTGCATTCCCACCAACAGTGTAAGAGGGTTCCCCTTTCTCCACATCCTCACCGATACCTGTTGTTTCCTGACTTGTTAATTTTAGCCATCCTGACTGGTGTGAGGTGGTATCTCATTGTGGTTTTAATTTATATTTCCCTGATAACGTGGCTCTATTTCTAAACTCCTTATTTATTCTCTATCAATCTATTTGTTTATAATTTCACCAATAGGAGTTTGTCTTGATTACTAGAGTGTTATTGCAAGATTTAATGTCAGGAATTCTAAGTTCTCCCACTATGTTCTTTTTCAAGATAGTTTTGGTTCTTCTAGGTTCTTTACATTACCATACAAATTGTAGACTCGGCTATGCATTTTTGTAAAAAATGCCTCCTTAGATTATAATTATGATTGGATTGAATCTAGACATCATTTCGGGGCAGAATTGACGTTTTTGGCAACACTGAGTCTTTCAAATCATAAATATGGTATACCTTTGCATTTCTTTAGCGCTTAAAAATTTTTTTGAGTGTAGTTGACCCATGGGACATTAGTTTCAGGTGTACAACATGGTCACTGCCCAAGTTCAGACATCATGCTGTGCTCACCCCAAGCGTAGCTGCCACCTGTCACGATACAACCTATTCCAGTGTCATCGGCCACATTCCCTGTGCTGTACCTTGCATCCCCGTGACTTACCCATCCCATCACTGGAAGCCTGCGCCTCCCACTGCCCTTCATCCATATTTAGCACTTTTAACCTTTAGCTGTCCTGTCAGCCATGTTTCGGATTTTTTACTGTGGGGGTCATGTGTATCTCTCCTTCCACTTATTTCCATGTATTTAATGTTTTCAGTACTTTTGTATACCTAATCGTTCTGTAAATTGTATTTTCCAATTGCCATGTCTAGTATTTAGAAACAAAACTGGCTTCTGTGCCTTTGTCCTGTATCCTACAATCTTTGTAATCTCATGTATTAGCTCTAATATGTGTTTCGTAGATTCCTTAGGATTTTCTGTGTGAACAATCATGTTACCTGCAAATAATAGTAATTTTCCTTCTTTTTTCCAATTTTTATACCTTTTCTTTCTCTCTTCTTGGATCACGTGTATCTACACACCCAGCCCTATGAGCTGCAGATCCACGAGTGCCGAGTGGGTTCCTGTGGGGCTGCTTCTGGTCCTGTTGACACAGACACTGGGCACAGACTGGAGATGGTGTGCTCTCCAGTGACCCTGTGTGGAGCTCATCAGAGCCTGTAGCAGTGGCTGGAGCAAGAGGGGAGTCTAAGAGGCTCGTAAAGGGCAGCACGATGCAATCTGCTGCTGTTACAGATGCCCCAGATCTCAGCACCTCAACATGCTGAGACTTCTGTCTCACCTGCACCATAATTCTGTGCAGCTTGCCAAGGGGTGCTCTCCCTCCTGCAGTTGCCCAGGGACCCAGAGTCTTTCCTTATAGCACCCGTTGTCCTCCAGGGCCTTGAGGCTCCCCGCTTAAAATTTTGTCTGTAGACAGGCAGGGAAAGAGAGAGGGAGAGGAAATGAGAATGAGGCATCATCCAAGGTTTGAAGGGCCAGGTCTGACATTTATATGCATCACCGTTGCCCACACTTCATTGGCCAGGAATGAGCCACATGGTCATACCGGTGTGCAAGGGGTGCTGGGAGATGTAGTTTAGCGGCATGCTCCTGATTCTGCCACATCACTGCTAAACACACGAATTGTACACGGAAAGGATAGTGTTATTTTTCATCTGTGAGTTCTAAAAAATGGAGACAATATGTATGTATGCGTGACCTCCATTTGACAGGTATCAATAATAGCAATCAATAACTACCACTTCCTGAGCTCCTAATACGTACTAGGAATCGTGGTAGGTGCTTTACGCGCATTGATTAGCTTAATCTTCATGAGAACGCTTCCAGGGGACCATCCTCATCACCGTTTTATAGATGGGGACACGGAGACTCAGGGAGGTCAGAGTCACACAACCTTCAAATGACAGATCGGGAATTCGAATTCAGATTCTCATGCTCCAAATTCCCAGGACACGTCTTCAACTTGGGTTGAGCCCAGGCATTCCATCAAATTCCTGGATACCTGCTGGGGATCAAGCCATGTTTACCTTAGCACACTTCTCCCTCAGGAGGGAGCAAAGGGCTAACTCCTGGTGTCTGGAAGAGCAAAAGTGGGTGAGAGCTTCTCTAAGGAGGTGCGGATGACCCTGGAGAGGAGTTAGATTTCATTGGGAGGGGAAGGAAAAGCCAGGCAAGCACACGCGCGAGCATGTTAAAGTGTTTCAATCCTCGTTCCCTTAGAGATGAGGGGAGCAGAGGACATACCGGAGAGAATGTGGTCACGCGTGAGCTCAAACATATTTTGTGTTGTTTATTGACTGCAGCATATTATAGACCAATGGTTTTACTGTTCCTCAAAGAATGCTGCGTTATGGTTGTGGGCGCATTACTTTTAAATCTATGTCATTTGATCACAGAAAAGGAGAAAAAAAAGGATAAAATTGAATTTGAGAGTTCTCCCTCCGAATTTGCACTGGGCATTCCAGGAACAGAGAGACCTATTTAGTGGGCAATCCATAGCCTAGACAGGAAAAGATGTGTTTCTTTTTTTTTTTTTTTTTAAAATTTTATTGCCATGAGAGTCCATGGACTCTGAGAAACCAACTGAGGGTTCTAGAGGGGAGGGGGAGGGGGGATGGGTTAGCCCGGTGATGGGTATTAAGGAGGGCACGTACTGCATGGAGCACTGGGTGTTACACGAAAACAATGGATTGTGGATCACTACATCAAAAACTAATGATGTAATGTACGGTGATTAACATAACATATAAAATAAAATATAAAATAAAATAAAAGATTTTATTTCTTTGAGAGAGAGAGTGAGCACAAGCAGGGGAAGGGCA